ATATTACTAATGCTGTACGTTGTTCATCCCGTAAAATTTGATAGCTGCAAAATAGCAGACTTTATTTTCATTTTTTGGAAAATATGTGCTTCTTGGACGCGGAACGCATTTTTTAACGTGTTTAGCCATCTAGCCACAATCAGGAAAGAAGGAAACAGGAAAGACTCAATAAAAAATCCCCGTCGTGCTTCAATTTAATACCAGAATTCCTTTCATATTTCTAGTTTCATAAGAGGTGAGCGCTTTTGACTCGAGTGAAATCACACTGCCCACAGCCCTCATCTGCTTGCAAATACTTCCATGGTTCCGTTTTCCGTGAGCTGCTTAAAAGGCATGCAGAAGGAGAATTATTATTTCAGTGCGTAAAAAAGTGCCATAACAAGTCATGTGTTCGTTTTGTAGGAAGAAGAGGCTACCGATTATCAGCTTTTCGCAGTCATCAGCCATAAAGGAACTTCTGCAGCGAGGGGTCAGCATTTTCTTTTCAGTAAAGTTTTTATTTAACGAGTATCATGTGCATCGATTTTATGAGTTTTGGTGTGTTGACGCAAATACAAATAATTGGCCAACGCACGGGTTGCCCGTGCGAAGATGCGTTTTTTGCATGGTTCCCCGCAGTTTTTGTTGCTACCGAACCGGTTTTTTCGGCAAATGTTTCTAGCTAAACAAATTAAGACTGGTCACCAGAACTGTCAGAAAACATCCCCTTTAAAATTCCAAGTTTCTAGCTTCCCTGGCAAGTTAGCAACTTACTGGAACAAAATTTTCACGGGCCCGTGCATGTTTAACAAGCATACCTGAGAGCTGGGTTCGAGCTGAATGAAACTTAGGCGGACGGGGTATATCCTCATAAAATTGCATTCCTTTGGTTTCTCAGGTACTTGAGTTATCAATTTAGACGAAAAAAAATTTGGAGGGCCCGTACGTGGGTACCACGCTTACTCGGGGGCTGGGTTTGAGCCCACTGATACCCACTTGGGCGGGGAACATTCCCTCAAGATTTCAGCCTCCTAGCTTCTCAGATCCCCGAGTTATGAATCTACGCAGGAAAATTTTGGGG